AGGCTGGACCAGATGATCCTTGAGGTCCCTTTCAACCTGGGATTCTATGATTCTGTCTTCTTTAACAAAAGCCAGTTCTGCAGTAACTTTGGAGCACTTCTTACTACAGAATTATTAACTGTGATTTTAGGGTGGCAGATCCATTTCCTTTTCCTCCGTGACCATGATGGGTTACATCACCACCGCACACTGGTTAGCGACCACGGGCCATCACACACAGTGAAACCGTGTGGAAGCATTTCTGTAACTGACCTCCTTAAACACACCTGTGGGGAGTGGAAATTCTTCAGTGAAACACAGACTAGCGCGAAACCCCGGTTTATGTTCCATCCCTTTCACTCAATAGTAGTTGTGACTTTCTGATCAGGGCATTTCATTTTGGAACCACCTGAAGCACATTTTTTAAATGGAGCCATGGGAGCTCTACGATGCTTCCCCTTCTTGCCAACTGTGTACAACTACTAAGAAAACAAAACCTTCCAAGGCCATTTAGGTCTTGACCTCAAATCTTAGGAGGCAGCCAGGCAGACCAGCCAATGAAAGCACTTCCTGACAAATGCTTCATGATTGCTGTTATCTGTCTTACAAAAACCTGTCTTTAGTAAAAAATCATGTGGCGGGGACACAGCAGCACCATCTAAAAGCTAAGGCTAGTGACTGCGTATGCCCTGCGCTCTCTGATCCCAGTCTGACAAACTGACAACTGAGAACTTAGTTTCACTTTTACCTGAGTTTTTACCTGGAAGTTAAGATTGACTACACCAATACGTGCTGTGCTGTTCAAGTTCCACCTGGAAGAGAGAGTCTCCTCTATAGCCGATATTGCATGAAGTTAAATCAGCTTCCCAGCAGGCCATATTCTATGACAGAGCAGACTATTTGAGCCAGATGAGATTCTCAGAATTTCCTCCCTCCACATCAATTTTCCTGACAGGAACACTGCACTGACAAAGCCATTCATTTTGCAAGAAACAGGTAGCTATGTCCTATTGAAGTGTTCATAGCTGATTTAAATACCCTGCAAATTTAAAGCAAGCCCCCCATAGTTTTCATGATTAATGTCCTCAAAAGACATTCTTCCTCCTAAGACAGCCAAATGAACTAAGGGGACCCTCCCCAACCCAGCGCAGGAAACTGTGGCTCCCACTCTCCCCAAAAGGAACTCTCCTCTCCCCTCCACCCAGACACTCACCCACCTTTTCCTGCGCAGGGTACGGCTTTACTGCTCTTCCACGCTAAAGCCATAGCGTCTCTTGTCCAGTATTTCACATTTTTCTTCCAGTGTTGTAGTCCAGATCTTTTGATTTTACCCCTTTTTCGGTGCACTTCACCCTCTCTTTGCATGTCCTAGCAAGAAAGCCAGGAGTTCGTCAGTCCCCTGGTTGACAGTCCACAGCCATTTGTGTGTAATCTGTTTTTCCACTCTATTCCACAGTGGAGAATGCTTTTGACAAGCCACAGTTGAATTGTGTCAGATGTCACTGAACAAAGGATAAAATTTGGCAAATACTGAAGTTGCATTCATATAAGGCCTTCATTTCTCACTATGCCACCCTCCCTGGAAACTAAGAGGGAAATTACTTTTCCTATGTTTGAAAAAGGAATGGCGGAAAAGCAAGACAGTGTTTGAGCTCCAGTTACCCTGCTGCCTCGGAGGTACACTGGAACTGACGTGTACTGTGCCCAACGTGGCTGTGAGCAGTTGCACTAACACTCTCTTACTTGCCTTCATTAGCGAGCATGCAGATTTCTCTGGCTACTCCACAACAGAACAAAAATGGTTATTTTCTTTCTCTGGGGCTGCAGTTTCCTCTGTCAGAGAGCCTGACTCATTGGCTACCCCGCTTCCATCAGTGTTGTTCGTGGAAGAGGAGGCAGGACATAACAGAGAACTTCAATTATAATTCCCTGGGGAAAAAAAGGGGTAAAAAGGGAAAATGTTGCAGCATTGTCCTGAAGGGGAGCAGAAGTTGTCTCAGGACATCAGAAGACGCACCTGAATGGACACAAAACCTTTCCAAGAAGTACCCTTGAGTGGAAGCTGCTTGCCCACATGTGCAAACCTTTCCCCTTACCCTCCACAGGTACGCTTCCCATCCTTCCCGCTTCCCCCTTCTCACCCCTCTCCCTCCACGTGGGCTTACCACTTCCCAGTCCTCAGCCAGAACTGATTGGAACAGAACAAATGAACTCTGCAGCACCCTGGACTAGCATTCACCTGCCACAAAGCAAAGTAAGTGTCACTTATTAATTAGCTGCGGTTTTGCCTCCCTTTTTGATGCATTTTTAGACTAGCTGAAAAGAAACTCTGGGAGATCACCAAAGGGTTATGCAGGACCCAGTGCAGCTTTTACGTACATCAGGAGGCCTGGCTGCATAATTTAGGTCTAATGCAAGGCAGTTCACGGGGACGCACGCGGGTGCCGAGATTGAGCAAAGTTCAGTTTTCAAGGATCCCTTTGTTCTGTGATTACCTAGCCCACATTCTGCTCAACCATTCAGTTTAACCACATATTTTAATTCCATCTCTGAGCATGTTACATTCTTGGCTTTCCATTTCAATTTCCACAGGGGAAATAAAACTGATGGAAAGCGCTTTGACAAGGGTATTGTTATTTCATCCAGTAGCCTGAGATGACTCCAAATCTGGATATTACATTTAATGTTTCTGGGACAGATGCTGTTAGGTCTTTTTACAGGAATATGGTATCATCTGCATATATTAGTAACTTCTGTGCCTCAAGGTGCATAGGCTTTACATCCTCTTTTTTCAGAGACACTGCTGGCAATTTAATACTAAAGGGGCATCTCAACACCCTTCATCAGAAAGCAGGAAAAAGGATAACTGTGGAAGCTCACGCGCCAAAGGGGCAGAGTACCTTATGCATTTATTTCCTCTGCTAAAAGGTGCAGCAACGAGACGCGATTCTGAGGGCAAACTGCCCAACTCATCCCCCTCTCAGCCACAGAAGCCTGAAGAACCAAACCTCACAATCAGCATCTGCTTTAGATCACTAAGATTTTCTTCAGTTGAGGTACTGTGCTTTGGAGCGCTGCCCTCTCACCGCCCCACATGCGATGGACAGGACCTACAAAGAAAGGCTGGGAGAGTTAGGCTTGTTCAGCCTGGAGAAGAGAAGGCTCCGGGGAGACCTTATAGCACCTTCCAGTGCCTCAAGGGGCTACAAGGAAGCTGGGGGGGACTTTTTACAAGGGCCTGTAGTGACAGGACATGGGGTAACGGGTTTAAATTGAAAGTGGGGAGGTTTAGATTAGATCCCAGGAAGCAGTTCTACATGGAGAGGGTGGTGAAGCACTAGAACAGGTTGCCCGGAGAAGCTGTGGATGCCCCATCCCTGGAAGTGTTCAAGGCCAGGCTGGATGAGGCTTTGAGCAACCTGGTCTAGTGGAAGGGGTCCCTGCCCATGGCAGGGGGGTTGGAACTAGATGGTCTTTAAGGTCCCTTCACACCCAAACCATTCTGTGATTCTAAGACCTTCCCAGCAGACACAACGTGCAGAGCAGGGACAAACGCTGAGAGCTCGTGACCATGGCTGCGCTGACAGAGAACTGCCATGAGTGCAGAGTCGAGGCTCATCACTGTAAGAACGTGAGTAGAGAATAAAGGTAGTGAAAGGCCAGCTGAATTTGTCTGAGGCAAAAGCAGTTCAGTCGTGGTTGTAACAAGTACTTCCGAGCTCACAACAACAACTGGAGAATTTCATGTAGAGCTACTGCGTTTCCAGCGTGGTTACGTGGAGCGCCTCACAGATGACATCAGGCAATCAACATTACTCCTGCCTTTATTAATGAGGTACAGAACCACCCATTTGGTAGTTATTCCAGTACTTATAAGTTGATATTCTTTGCATTCAGAAAAAAAATAAAATCTGCATTAACCAATCTTATTTGCTATCACAAAAAGAATTATAATTACATACACGCATAGATGTACACACAAAATGTAAGAAATACATAAATACAGTCTCACACACACACATTTCCACACAGACAACTCATCTACCAAAACCTCTGTTCTTTAAAACACCATTCCTTAAAAACAATTATTACAAGCTTCAAATGGGGAAAGGGCTACTCCCTGCTCAGAAACAGAGGAAAAGGCTCCATGCTACCACCAGCATTCAGCCTAACACATAGACATAATACGTACTCCGGTGTTTTAAGATTTGGGTTTGTCTCATTATCCCACTCTGATTTGATTGGCAATAAATGAAATTAATTTACCCAAATCAAGTCTGTTTGCCCATGATGGTAATTGGTGAGTGACCCCTTCCCTGTCCTTATCTCGACCCAGGAGCCTTTCATTATATTTTCTCTCCCCTGCTCAGCTGAGGAGGGGAGTGATGGAGCAGATTCGGTGGGAACATGCCCTCCAGCCAGGGTCCACCCACCATGTGACTGCAAAGAAAAGACAGTTTTTAACTAGTAAACAACTTAGCAAATACGAAACCTGTTTTGCCAGTGCTTGGAATAGTCAGTGCTTAAGATGACAGACTCTGCATACAAATCAGTTCTTACAGGAAAACAGAATGCAGGATTCCCATGACTTCAGACCATTGAAACCATTTATTTTAAAATATAATCTGTATTAAAAACAAATTTGTAATAAAAAAGGGGGAAAAAAAAACCCAAAAAACCAACAAAAAAACCCCAACACCAAACCACCAACAAACCAATGCAAAACCCCAGGACATCAGGCCTCTGTTCTAGGATACAAATCCATTTAAAAGCATCACATGGAAAATCAACCTCCCTTGACTTCATAAGGACTTCACAGAGGCCCACATGCCCACATCAGAAGACACATTCACAGTATTTTAAGCTAAACTGTCTAGCTTCCCTATTAGGCAGCAGCCGATACAAAACTGCAATGCTTTAAATTCAGTTGCCTTGGACAGGTTTAAATACACATACTATGTTAGAAATAAGTATTAATTTATCACACATCCCTTATAAAAAACTACCAGGCATCAGATGGACTACATTTTCTTTAATTTAGCTATGTACATCGGACCCCATGCTCTCCCTTTCTCTGGGAGAACCAGAAGTTCATGCTGTTGCATACCACTGAGGAAAGTGAATTCCTGAGAAACAGCTCTGGCCATTTCACTGATGTCTGCAGGTGCAACGTTACTGCAGGAGTTTAGAATGAGATCTATTACATCGCTGTTTTCTGCCTTGGAGAGAGTGCACGTAGAATAGACCAGAGATCCACCAGGACGCAACGCTCTAATAGCAGACCTGCAAATAACAGACAGTTAAAACAAATTCAACCTAAGAAGTTGAATTCCCACTTAGGGGGAAGGGGGTACATGTAAGACTGATAAATCTAGAGTTATAAATCACTACAAATATATATGAGAAAAATAGTATAATGAACAGTATGAACAGCAGTATGTAACTGAGAGTTCAGGAAAGTACCTGCAACACATTTTGCTGTCTCATTTATTAATGTATTCTCCGTTAACCGACGCTATTTTTTACACAACAATGACAAGCAGAAAGCAGCATCCATTCAGAGTTGCAGAATGTACTTCAAACTCTTCTATGCGCAGCACAACAGTGAAAATGCTGCAACTGTGCATACAAAATGGGTTACACCACATGAGAAGTCCTGGTCAGATACTCAGCTGGCTGCTTGCGTGAACAACTACCAGAATGCAGTCGCAGCAACAGCCTGAACTCATTACTGGGCTGGAATTTTACAAACGTTTCTGCAAGTTCTGCAACTTCTTTAGCAGGTAAAGACTCGGAGATTTAACTGAGCTGCTACTTTCCAACATGATTTCCTAAGGAAATACGATTTATCAGATCATACTGCCTGTTCATGTGCCCTTCACCTATCTACCTGTTGACAAGTTTTGGCTAATCAAAGGCAAATTAGTGGCTTAAGGTTTCAAGTTTTCTGAAAGCTTCATGACTCCTGGACAGATGGACAGAACAGAGGTTCTTTTTCACTTCCCCGCTGAAAGAGAGTTTAAACAGACTGTTTACTTTCCATTAAAGCAGTTCCGCAAGATCCTTTTTTCAGACAGGTAGAATATAACCTGTGACAGCACAGAAATGAGAGATGCAACCTACATTCACCTACTGCAAATTAAAAGAGTAAGGAGAAAACCCCCAAATCTTGCACCACAGAAGAGCATTCTTCAAATCTGGTGTCACCACATAACTGAAAGACGAGGATACGCTATAAGCTCATTTTGCTATTGAAATACTTTCTTAAGGCAATTCCTTTTAATCACACACTTTGGAGCTTCAAGGACATAACGGCTCAAAGACTGAGCTGTAAACTAGTATTCAAACAGATCACCTCACTGCTTCTGGAAAGGAGATAGTCCTGGGCTGAAGCAAATACCACATTAAAATAAAATTGTTCCCTAAACAAAACTTCTTTTGTTTAAAAACAAGAGAATGTGAGCAGGTGAATGCTGTTACTCAGCTTGTGAATATCAGAGAGACAACAAGGCAGGTGCTCAGGGACTGCAAGTGTGTCACTGGGAATACAGCAGGTGCAGGAGGGCAGGGCAGATGCTGGAAGCATGGACACACAGGACACAATGACACACACAGTCCTGCTGTACAGAAAAATACTGAATAATCTTAGATTGGTAGATATTACTGACAATATGGTATTGTTGTGTGCCCCCCCATCAAGAAAAAATAACAAACAACAAAACCCAACGAACGAAATCTACCAGGAAAAATGAAAAGAAGGGGAGGAGGGGGGGAAGCAAGCACATCCTCAAACCAAATGAGGTGAGCAGCCCCTAGATGCAGGGAGCCTGATTCCAAGCCCAGACAAACAAACACAATGCCACTGAAACAGCAATTCTTCCAGAGACAAACTGAGGACTTGCTAAGGATGATATCTGAACAAGAACAGTTGAGAAAGGAAAGAAGAAAATACATGGGGAAAAAGACAAGTCCTTTCAACAGGATTGGGCCGTTTCAGGAAAAGAATCAATAAAGAAAAGCCTCATCATGAGCAGGATCAAAGCAGAACACAGATCAAAGCTACTCTAAGTCCCGTCTGAAATAATAAGGAAACACCAGGACAAATTACTGTTTCAGACAGAGATAATACAATGCTGCTCACCTCCCCAGGTGAAAACTCCTCCATATTACCCCCAATCTCATTCTCTGGGGAGCATACACATGATATTGCACATCTCTCCCATGAGCCTTGGTTCCATTAATCAGCAAGCCAAGTATGCATTTTACTGAAGTCTGTACTACTCCAGTTTTAATCGGCATAAGAGAACAGAGCTCTCTCAACAGATGATGCTCAAAGGAAAAACAGTGTTTAATACCTTTGTTGTATCAGTCTTCAGTAAAAAGCTGGAGAGTGAGCAGATGGCTAGTACATTTAGCCTAAGTGAGCAAGCAGTTCATGTTCAGCTTGTTACAGGTAAAGAAGAGGTTACAGAGTACTTAAGTATTCTGCACACTTTCAGTTTAACTGGGCCTAACGGACTCATTCTAGGATACTTCCAAAATTAGCTAAAGCTACCACAAAACCGAAAGCTTACCTCAGATCTCTGAGTAGCTTCTGAAAGTCTGCAAAAATGTTTAGTAACGATTCAGACACAGGTTGAGGTGGGATGACATTTACACCACCACCTTGAGAGGGCAAAACAGAGCCAGCGTCACCCTAATGGCCCTTTCCAGATCTTATTTTCTAAAATTCTGCAGTTACCAGCATGCATTTGAATGCTCAGCTCCAGATATTCATCCTTCTTCCACTCCACATCCAACACACACCCCCTCCTTAGCAGGCTACAATGGCAGCAGCGCTGGACCTGAGGCCCTAAGTTGTCTTCACAGGGCTTATGTCTGGGCAGCCACAGTGTGCCCAGGCATATGGAAGGTGCAGGAACGTACAACTTTCCCTTTTCGTGACCAAGCCAGCAAAAGAAGCCCACACTGGGCTCTGAAAGTTGAGCCGATCTCTGCAGCACTATTAGAAACTACCTACTTGACTCATTTTCATAGAGCTTGCTCCTCCAGCTACACCTTTTCCATGCATATGGGAATGCCAAGCCATGAGAGGGCAGCTAGCTGGCTTAGAAATGTGAAAGTGTTTTCTGCATGATGATCAAGATGTACTTTTAGCACAGCTGATAATTTTACTCACAAAAGTAAGTAAGGGCAACTGCTTTCCTACCTGTAAGACAGATACTACATGAACATTTAAACAAGTGAGAAGACATTTTTATCATGTAAAGGCAAATACCAAAAAAGTAGACCAGCTACAGCTTACAGGGTTAAAAGCCTGGACAGTGGCTAAGGGTCCTTTTCTTACCATATATAAAGTAACAACCACTCACACCACCACTTTCAAAGGCACAGCACTCCTACAACTGAATTGCTGGGGCAGTGATTCTAAGCAAAGAGCAGCACATGCTTCTGAACAAAATCCTTAAAATCTCACATCAAAAAAAACCCTCACTCTAAGCCTCCTTAGCTTAGGAATCTTCACTGGCCAATGACCCAAAAAGGTCAGGCTGCTCAGTGCCGTTACCTTCATTCTGAACCTAAGTCATGAATTAAAATATCTAAGGAGGATTACTTTACGCTGCAAGGTTAATCAATGTATCTATCCATCTTGTCAAGTTCAGCAACAGTTGTTCCAGTGGCTGTGTTCAAAGTCAACCAACCGCCATCCCTGATTAAGCCGTGCTTGGCTTTTGATAAACCTGCACTGAGCTGCAAAATTCAAAGTGAAGAAGTGCTGAGCTCAAAGTCACGGGGTGATACTGCGCTGGGCTAAGCAGATTCAGGGAGTTTGGTCCCCTCGACATCAGCACAACAGAGAATTCACTCATAAGGGAATTTGTTCAAATGATTTTAAGAAACTAGCCTTCCTCTATAAGCGATGGAGGGAAATAAGCTTACTAAAGGAACAGGTCAGAGTTGGAGCACAACTTACCGACATCCAGCAGAACTCTCCAGTGCTACTATGACTCCACCATCTAAGAATGTAAGACTCCTTACACTAGGCATCTTGATTATCCCTCAAATCCTTACTTAAAACTCGACTCTTAGCTGAAGGAATTTGGTGCCTGTTATAAGGTCCTTTTTAACTTCCAAAACCAGGATCCAAATCTAGAATGATTAAAAAGAATGGTAGGGCAGAAGACCCTAAAATATTTTTTCATGTTCCTCTCAATATAATACATTTTTTAAAAATAAAATGCATTACTTGAAGGTAATTAATCTGCAGTTCTTTTTCTCTTAGTGTTACACATGACTTTCATGTTTATTAAAGAACTAAAATTTTCAGTTTAAATATAGATCTATGGGTCAGAGCAATCCCAAATACAAGTTGGGGGGAGAGTGGATCGAGAGCAGCCCTGAGGAGAAGGACTTGGGGGTACTGGTGGATGAAAAGCTGAACACGAGCCGGCAGTGTGCGCTGGCAGCCCAGAAATCCAACCGTATCCTGGGCTGTATCCACAGAAGGGTGGCCAGGAGGGGGATTCTGCCCCTGTACTCTGGTCTGGTGAGACCCCATCTGGAGTGCGGCATCCAGTTGTGGGGCCCTCAACATCAGAAGGATATAGACTGGTTGGAGCGAGTCCAGAGGAGGCCACGAAGATGCTCAGAGGGTTGGAGCAGCTCTGCTATGGGGACAGGCTGAGAGAGTTGGGCTTCTTCAGCCTGGAGATGGCTCAGAGGAGACCTTATTGCACCTTCCAGTACCTCAAGGGGCTACAAGGAAGCTGGGGGGGCCTTTTTACAAGGGCCTGTAGTGACAGGACAAGGGGTAACGGGTTTAAATTGAAAGTGGGGAGGTTTAGATTGGATATCAGGAAGAAGTTCTTCCCGGAGAGGGTGGTGAGGCACTGGAACAGGTTGCCCAGAGAAGCTGTGGATGCCCCATCCCTGGAAGTGTTCAAGGCCAGGCTGGATGAGGCTTTGAGCAACCTGGTCTAGTGGAAGGTGTCCCTGGCCATGGCAGGGGAGTTGGAACTGGATGGTCTTTAAGGTCCCTTCCAACCCAAACCATTCTGTGATTGTGATCTAGTTATACTTAATTTCATAATTCTAAATTCAGGTATATACATCTTCCAAAATGAATTTTACATGTTACAGGCACAAATACTGCAGTTTCAAGCTCCATACGAAGAAACATAACAATACACATTAAAAGCACAGGGAACTTTTCCTGGATCCTCA